CATAGGGAAGGCCTGGGGATGGGGGGTCTGGAGCCCAGGAACTGGACTTGCATTAGCCCTCAGGTGCATGTGTGCATTCACCAACCTGGAAGCTCTCCAAACCCTGTACTGTTGGAATTTTTATGGACACTTTGTCGTCTAAACATGATCCCTCACTACGTCCATTCCCACCCGCTCCCCTCCTACCTGGAGACTGGGGGTGGGCCTGGAATCATGGCTTGGTCCTTTTGGTGACCAGCCCTGGGTGGCTCCAGGAGCCCACCCAGAGTCAGCTGACCAGAACAAACAAGACCTCTATTATTCAGGACATTCCAACGGACTTAGGAGCTCTGTGTCAGGAACTGCAGTCAAAGACCAAACAGTGAAAAAGATGCTTCTAGTGCTCTTACAAGTTTGGAGGTTACAAGGGTTTCAGGAGCTCTGTGCCAGGAGACAGGGGCAGATAGATATGTTTTCTATTACCTCACACTGTGTACATGGATTATTTAAACCTTTCAGAAAAACTACTCCCTTGAATGGAAAATCCCAGTGGTTTCCTATGGGACACCTCATTGAATCCTCAAACTTCCTACAGAAGACAGGACCCTGGGACCTGCTGATGCTCTAAGTCCTTGCCCCTCGCACTAATTTCTGATGCTGTTGCCCATTCACTGGGTATTGTTACGTTCATTTTGAAGGCTATGAAAATCAGGCCCTTGAACTATACATGGTAAAATAATAATAATAATAATAATAATAATAATAATAATATTTTTCTACCTTTTTCCACTTATTTCTTAGAAGTGAGACCCTTTGTCAAACAGTATTCTGTGTCGAATAACAATAGTGAGGAGGGGTCAGTGGTGAAGAGGAGCCCAACTAGTGGCCCTTAGCCCCTCCCAGGCTCCTTGGTGGCCCCTCAGTTGGCCCCAAGACACACCAGGCTCCATAGGGCCCAGTTTAAAAACTAGGGCCAGTTTCCAAAGTTTGTAGCCACAGGATGCAGTCTACATCAAATACCAAGTCAAAGTGATACTTTCTTAGAATAAATATATCATACCAAAGTAGTATTTTTTTAGAATTAAGTGTGATAGATGTTCACATCAATCACATGTACTTATTATAAGTTCTGTGTAGCCATTTTGAATAAAATAACATTGAATTTCAATATTCATAGATGACAGTTGTGTTTTGCAGTAGGCTCAACATCCAGTTTTTTCCTGCTGGGGTTGGGTGTATGGAAATATTCTGGCTTATGTAGATGAGTAGTAACAAATGGTAGCAAAAACTGGTTGGTTGGTTGGTTGGTTGGTTTGTTTGTTTCGTTTGCCCTATAATCACAGGGAACATTTTAAGTTAAATAATACAGAAATGTGAAAAGGAGAACTGTAAGAAATTTTTTTCCAAGCTGAATTAATAGCCTCTAACAACTTCTTATAGCAGCTAACATAACTGTGAAGTCCGAAAGATGCTTAAATTTTTAAAGACACAATACTGTCTAGTGTGGGAATGTGTCACATTTTCACCTTTGATGATATGACAGGTACCGTGTGGTGAGAGCTTGGGATGGCCTTTGGCAAAGCAGCATGCTGCATCCTCTGTGCCTTCAGGGACCTCCCTTCCCGATTATACTGGGCCAGATGCTGCGCCATCTAAACAGTGGCCAGTGCTCTGCTACAACCTTCCTTCTGGACAGCACATCTGCAAGAAGATGAAATATGTGCATAGTATCTTGACAGTTTGGGCTACACAGATACACGCAGGTGTCAAAACTCACTAAATGCAAATGTACACTTAAGATTTGTGTGTATTTGGATCTAAATTTTACATTTTAAAAACTATAAAGAAATATTGATGTCTAGATAAAGATCTGCAAGCTGAAATGTGTAGAAGGAAGTATACCAGTGTCTACAATTTCCTTGAAATGCATCAAAAATAAGATAGATACATGGATACATATGTGGGGGGTTTTAAGAATAGTAAAATGGTGATGACAGAAGCTAGATGGTGGGTATTCAAGCGTTCACTATAAGATGATTTCAAATGTGTTGTATGTTTGAACTTTTTCATAATAAAATATAGAGGGGAGGAAAATATACATATGTAGAGATGTGATAAGAAGTCTAAGGAAGTCAGAAACAGCAGCACAAAGTAACCCATTGGTGGTACCCCACAAATTGCAACATGGCATGTAAGACATTGGTGTGTATGAGGGGCTTTTTTTTACAGCTCTTTCCAGTGTTCGCTGAATTCTTTGAAACACTTACAAGGAACCCAGGGAATTCATCGAGAACCACTATTACTATTAACAAAGTGAACAGCTTGCGAATACCTTTAGAGATGTGTCCTGTATTTCTAAGCTTCAAAGTGTAGCTGCAAAATAGCTCATCATTATTGAAACTTACCACGTGGGGATGCTATTCTATGCACATTATATGAGTTAACAAATTGATCCTCACACTAATCCAGGGGTAGGAATGTCCAGCCCAAGGGCCATTACATAAAGCCCCAAAAATCATTTGGTCTGGCCCTGCCAAGGCATTAGGGTGATTTAATTAAATGCTTGACCAAATATAGCAGCTAATTTTAAGTTGGTAATTTTGTATGGCCCACAAATGATGTTATGACTATCCAAATAACCCTTGGCAGAAAAAAGGTTCCCCACCCTGCTCTAGACTGTGACCAGGCTGGAGGGGAGACCTGAGGTTATTCCATTATCCAATTAACGTAGTTTCAGGGGATGTTAACTTCTTTTAGCAACCTTACATAGATCATATTAATCTTGCAGTCAATGCAACTTCTCAGTCTTCTCAGAAGAAAACTGGTAAATCGACTTACTTTAATTCAAAGATGACCGGTCTTTTATTTTTGTTAACTTATTGGATTCCCCACTGTTTTTTATTATTGGACCCCAGTATATCTATGAAACCCCTAGTATATCTATGAAATCCTATTTCTAACACTCAGCAGGTGGGTGGTCCCTGGCCAGTTGCTTAGCTCTCTGTGCTTCGGTTTCCTAACCTGTAAATTGGAGGTGTTAATAGTGTCTATCTCCTAAGGTTTGTGGGGATGAGATGAGTTAATTCATGTAAAGTGTCCAGATTAATGCCTGGCTCATCAGTACTTAATAAATGTTAGTTTTCATTATGCTCATAATCTATCACAGTCTCTCATGATTATATTGTAAACTCTCTCACCTAATGAGAATTTGTCATTAAGCAAACTGTAGAACATGGAACATGGTTAAGGAACTGGTTTGCTAACTGCAAGCCAGGGACCCAAAAGAAAGGGAGGGTAAGATGGGGTTGAGCAGAGAAGGAGGCATAGGTCCTCTAGCCCCACTTCAAACAGATTTCTTCTCTTTATTGTTATTGTTATTATTATTATTATTATTATTATTCTGTTTCTAGAAATGTCACATGTGAGGAAAGAGTCTATTTTAGGGAAAAAGTAATCTCGGCTAAGCTGCTAATGAGGGCAATGCCCTATCCCTGCCAATCACAATTCAGTTCAGCAAAACCTTATTGGATACAGAGCCTACTGTGTGCAGAAAACTTGCTGCCCACTGGGGAGAAGGTTCATGATACAGTAGGTACCCTGTCTCTGCAGTCTGCCCTGTATGCTCTGGCAGAGCTGCCGAGTACAATGGCACCACAGAGGCAGGGGCCCTGGGAGGCTTCCTGGAGAAGGTGGCTTTTGAGGAGGGGCAATAGGCAGAGATGAATGGGATGGAAGCCCAGGCAGCAGAGGGTGGAGCTTCGATTCTCATTCTCCACCCTGATCAAATGATACTCAATTTCCAAGCTTCATTCTGGTTTAACTGGAGCATAGGGGAGGGAAAGAAATGAGAGAATGGGGACCCAATATGCCACATAGAGGAGTTCAGCCTTTCTGCCCAGGTTTGGAGCAAGAGAGTGATCTAATCGGAGCCGTTTTAGGAAAATGCACGTAACACCAGCACATCTTTAATTTGTGGTGCAAGACACTTGGCAAGTTATCACAGGAGGCACACGGGGATGGGGAGACTCTGGATTAAAATGATCTCTCAACAGAATGAGCTCTCAGTAATCATTTTCAACCTAGCTCATTCAGCAGGTTGGACCTTCTTATATTTTGTAATTGCTGTATCTGAGCAATCTTTCTAAAAGAAAAAAGCTACAGCACATTGCTGCCACTTAAAGCCTGCATTTTTAAGCGTATAATACATAGTGACAGTTTTTGATGTATGCCCGTGGGCGTGGGTCCCAATACTTCACTGTTCTCTGCCTGCATAATTTAAAACGACAATTTTGCCTGTCAAACTTAAATATGAGTGAAGTTCCTTGGATATTTATGAAACATCAAATAGATAGAATAGTGTTGGCAAATGATGGTGTGTGTGTGTGTTTTATTATGAAATCACAGAAGGATATTTGGATGATAGCTGCTGGCAACTCACCAATAAACCGAACTTCCAGCTATGGTAAAAATGTGGTGGTCTGTGATTTTGAAGGTATTTTCAGCGATTGGTGAAATAAATAAAAATGATATCACAGGACTACAGCCCAAACCGTAATCAGCGATTGCGAGGTGGTACAATAACACATCTTTTGTTTTATAGTTTCATGTATTAGCAATCCATGGTTTCAGGTTCCCCTCCGAAAGTGGAAGTTACCCGTGCAAAGAGAGAAAGCTTTGGTCTGCAGACCTAGTTGACAGCTGGTTTTTAGCCCTCTGCCCAGACACCTGGAGGCCTGACACGTTTAGAGTTGGGACACTTTTTGCCGGCAGCTCTAGACACATCCTGCACATTTCAGCAGACATATGCCTAAGAAAGTGGGTGTGTGAGCACGGCTTTTCATGAATCTGCTTATTTATATACTTAAAAAGCGGGGCATGCCCAAATCGGTTTGGCTCAGTGGATAGAGCGTCGGGCCTGCGGACCGAAGGGTCCCGGGTTGTATTCCAA